AAAAAAAAAAAAACATAAGATAAAATAAAAAACTAGGATTACTCGCAAGTGAACACATATACATTAAATGTTTTTGGATTAAAAGTTGATTTAATAAAGATACAAGAGATATAAATAGCCCTGCCTAGAAATATACAAGTAATAAGAGCGTCGGAATTATTCTTCGCGGATATAGCACAGCTAATCGGGGATCATACAATTATCCCGCAGGTCAAGACGCAATTACAGGCGCAATCCGCGAAATCCATCGCCGTGGGCTACCAGCACAGTCACTCGGGATCGTGGAACGCCTTCAAGTCTTTGTGGATGGAGGGCGGCATCGTGGCTTTATATCGTGGATGGAACGCCAGCATGCCGCGCGTATTTGTCGGCTCGGCGACGCAGTTGACTACTTTTGGATTAGCATCGGACTGGTTGCGCTCGCTAAATGTAAGTAATACTTGAACCGTCTCTCTCTCTACGCTTTCTACATGTTTTTCTCCTTTTCCACCCCCCCGAGTCTCCTCTACTGGCAACTGCTGGCGAACGGCCAAAGGTAACGGAATGCCAATCATGCATGCCGCGCGATTTTAAAAATAGATATAAAAAAAGTCCCAACAACAATTTTCATTTCTTAAATACGTTTAAAAGCACTGATCGGTGATGTCTGATAGATCTCAGTGCGAGATTCGAGGATTATTATACTTATCGATACAACGCGACGCGATGCGATGCGACGGAGCGTTCTTTATTTCTCTCAGATATTTCCAGATCGTCCAATATTGCTGACCTTCTTGGCCTCCGTGATCGGAGGTAGTTGCGTAGCCATCACCATGCAGCCGTTCGATGTCTTAGCAACGCGGTTGTACAATCAACGTGAGTATATTGCACGAAAACCTACGTGGCAAAGTCTACATATTGTGTTAAACGCGCGATTTATCGAAGAGCACGATTGTATCGCTGAACTTACAACGATCAACATTTGCACAAAATTGAAATTTCATATATTTAAACGTTGAATAGCGGACAAATGTAAAACGTATTCATTCTTATGCGATAAAGTATCACTTCCTATCGCGTTGTTCGGCTCAGGATATATCTTACGATAAAACTGAGAATAAAATGTTTAATATTAATTAATTGCTATACGCGACTATAAATATAATGTAATACAATGTATATGCGCTACTATAAATACGACTCTAATGCATGTGACTATAAATATAATTTGCATAAAAGATTCGTCATAAAGTTTCTCCAGCGAGTAATGTTGAACATTCGATTAGAGAAAACATTCAGAAATAGAAGACTCGATATATCGCCCTAAACGCCAGACCTTTTAATAGCGCAAATTTCGTAAAAGCAGGCAAATTTTATGCGTTTATTGCTATCTTTGAAAATCGCCAACTGTTAAAAGTGTTTTGAACGCACCCATATATACGCAGAGACAGACGCGGCCGGCAAAGGTGCTCTGTACAAAGGACTCGGAGACGCATTCGTCAAGATATTCCGCACCGAGGGTCTGACGGGCCTGTACAAAGGAACGTTCCCAACGTGGATGAGGATAGCGCCGCATACGGTTCTGTGCTTAGTGTTTTACGAAAAACTAGATCAACTGTACAATGATTTTAGAACACGAACCGACTGATATTAGTTTTAAATTTGTATACAAATGATATATATTTCAGTGTATTTATATACCTCCTAAATGTATGCAAAGTGAGACTTTTGTAAGATTTTTCAAGGATGTTGAATATTAAATATTACATACCTCTATTCGAATAAATTGATGTTACGAATTGGCAGTGATCGCTCGAGTGTGGATAGAAATTTTAAAATTATGGACGTACGTTAAAATATTGTATAAATGTAAAAAAATCTTAACCGCGTGTACTCTAATCATCTTTGCGTATAACATCATTCTACACTATTTTGAATATTTACGAGATAGAATATATATAAGTAGTCAATAGTATATAAAATTTGCTCACATAGTGAATTTTTCGCTGGAATAAATTAATCTTGTACCAGGAAGAGCCTTTTCTTACATCGATGTGTTGTGCTGTTACATGAATCAGATATCAGCACAACACGCGAATTGTCATTCGCGTATGAGCAACGTGTGGCGATAATGATTTGTTGATTCCATTAAAAAACCGTATAAAAAATATTTAGCCGAATTGCAAGCACTCAGTTTACGCAGCGAATGTTGCATTCGGTTTTGATTTGAAGCCTTGAGTCATAGCTGCTGCTATTTCGGTCGTGCTTCGACCTCGCGTTTCAGGCAAGTAGGTTCTGTAACAACATTATAGTTTCACATTATTCACGTTGCGAATCGTTTATTATATCACGCATAACTGTGGAATAACAGTAATAAAATTATATTACGTACTGATTGATTATCACCAAGATCTGTATGCACCCAGCGAAGATCAGAAAGACGTACGGGCCGATCGCAGCCTGTAACGAAGGGAACATCATTCCGACGAGGAAGTTGCCTCCCCAATTAAACATGCTGCCTAACGACATAGCGGAAGGCCTAGGACCTACATCGAACAATTCGGAACCGATGAAATACGGTATAGGACCGAGACCGATACCGTAAGATATAACGTACGCCAGTACCAAAATGGTGGAAAGCCATGACATGAATGCGGCTTTGTGCTGTAAAAAGATGTATACTCAGCAATGTATAGATCGCTTTGTGAAGATTTGCACTTTACTAAGATTCAGCATTATTTAAAAAATGAAGTAAAAGGAAGAATCTTATTTTCGATTGAAATGGCGCTTATTAATGATCATATACAAATTTGCAAATACATTTCTCAATTCTACAAACCGCGCCAATTCGGCTTGTCAGATTTAAAACGCAATCATAAACTGAAGCTGAAAATAACATCACAAATTATATTAATCGCCAATTTAATAATGGTGTTAATAAACGTCTTTGAAACACTGCAAACAATTTGTTGCGAATATAAGCATTATTAAGTATCAAGATCCGCTTTGATCAAAAATAGGATTCTTTCTTTTATTTGATTTATTGTTATTGGTTTAAT